GGTTTGGGCAAATATCGTATTTCACCTGGTTATGATCAGTTTTATGTAGATCCTGTGAAGTGGAACAGATGGGGACCAGAACGGCAAACACAACATCTTCAATCTTTCCGCAACTTTGTGCCAAATTCCTATGACAAATACGCCAAACCAAAGTCAGCCGGTAAGAAGGCGTCACCTAAATCAGCGAAGAGAAGGGCAGATATGCCAGAGCCAGAGCTTTTCGTAGAACGTATACAAGAGGGTTCAAACTCGGTACTTGCCCCTGCATGCAAGAAAACCCCTGTGACACCTTTGCGCTTATCCAAAGCTGGAAATGATTCACATTGGCAGGTACAGGTAATGTTTTATATTTTCTTAGTTTTTTGTCGACTGGAGCTACCACATGTCTATTCTAGAGTTTCCACAAATTGGTAAACAAATTAGCTCTTTTTCACAGTACAGTGTGTCCCCCAAAAATGTCACTCTGACGAAAATAATAAAATCAATTTTGACAGATACATGGCTACTGAAATCAAAAGGCAATATTTCTGTGTTGCGCTACTGAAAGTTCTTGAAATGAACAGAAAAGCTATTCAAAAACATGATTCAACACAACAAAATATTTATATTTGCCTTGCTAATCTTATATCATGATGTAAATACTGTCAACATGCAGTTTGCAGTATTTGCATCGAACTGCTTGAGGATCACCAAACACAATCTGCACATATTGTTAACTCAGCTATTTTTGTCTATTAACATGAAGGTAGAACCAAAGCAGACAGCTGCCGCCGAAATCGACGTGCTCAATCCCGACAGAATTGCAGGGAAACAGTTCGACCTGGTGCACCGTAATGATAACAAATTGTGCCCAAAGAGCGTGAAAAGATGCGAACAGTGTCGAATTTCGTTTAATCAGGCAGATCTTGTCCTAGTTAAAACAGTTGGTGTTCGTGAACACACCGACAAGTCTGGAAAGCATGTGAAACACATGGGTAATGTCTACCTGCACTATTTGACGAAGTGCTTGAAGGAATTTGACCAAAATTTCTCCTTCGGAGCGGTTAACGTACCAGCCCGTACTTTAACATTTCTTCCAAAGGGTAGCAGTGAAAAGTTGAGAGAAAAGGGGTTGCACGTAGAAGATGGACCAGTATAACCTTAAATTGCTTGTTTGTGAACTGCTTATATTTGTAACTATTTTATTCATTGATATTAGTTCGTTTTTGGGTAAAATGTTTTAGTTCGTATTTTGATGCGTTTGGGATGTAGGAAGCTCGGTGATTGTGGTCGGAAACGACCATTTCAGATTGTTAAGCCCGTTTACACTTTGCTCAATTTTTGGTACAGCACGGATAAAATTGGTACCCGCGTACCACTTTTTTGGTTCTTGGACTACCTATTTAGGTAGAGAAAAATTGAGCGTAGTGTAAACAGGGATTTATCTACCTTTTTCGGTAGGCTAGTTCAGGCCTATACAAAAGATGGATTATCACTAGATAACAAAGAATAGGCAACCTTTTTCGGGGGCGAAAGATATTCCACTCCCCCATATCATTGTTAGTTGCACCATCTACCACCATCTACGACAACTGTACTATCTTGGTACAGACACAAGGAACTCAACGGCAAAGTAATCACTTATAATTATATTAATTATATACCTGTACTGTTTTTGTTACAGTCAAACCGGATGTTCTCTTGCGAGCAATATCGTCCTACAATATTGCAATTTTGATAGACAGACTGCTATGAACAAATTGAAACCGACGCGAACAAATTGCAAGTTGGAAATTCACAAAAGATTTGTAAACAAAGCCTCTGATTGGAGGATTATAAGAAAGAAGTCGATCAAATAGTCTGAGCAACTTGATTGGTGCTTCCCTCGTTCTTATAGTCCAATCATCTTTTGTGAATTTCAACTTGCAATTTGTTCTCGTCGGTTGCAAATTCCTAAGAGCAACCAGCTTATCAAAATTGCAATATTGTGGGACAATATTGTAATGTTGCTCGCAAGAGAACATCCGGTTTGATTGTAACTCTAATGACAATGAATTGGGATGGGGATAAATTGGGTAGTAGAGGCGTAGATGAGACTTTATGTGATCTATTACTTCGTGTTGATTTAAATGAAAATTACCATTAAATATACTAAAATTTCGGACAATATTTAATACATACGAGACGGGTCGTTGTAGGATTGTTATAGGGTCGTTGTAGGTGGTTGTAGCGTCGTAGGTGGTTGTAGCGCCGTTGTAGGTGGTTGTAGTGTCGTAGGTGATTGTAGGTCGTTGCAGGTTCGTTGCAGGCTCGTTGCAGGTCGTTGTAGGTGGTTGTAGGCTCGTTGTAGGTGGTTGTAGGCTCGTTGTAGGTGGTTGTAGGCTCGTTGTAGGTGGTTGTAGGCTTGTTGTAGGTGGTTGTAGATCGTTGTAGGTGGTTGTAGGTGGTTCCTTACTTTAGTACCTACGAATATGATGAACACTATTGTTCTCGAGTGACAGTAAACTAACTTTGTATAACTTTGTATGGATCCCCTCTTCTTCACCTCCGACTTTAGTGATGGTTACATCCGCATCCTTTCCTTTCAACCTTAAATCTTTGGCAACCGAGTTTCGAATCAGGCTTACTTGTGCGCCAGAGTCCAATAAGATGTTAGCTTTCCTTCACTTTCCTTCTTGACCAAGAACTTCCGCTTGAATAACTGGGAGCATACTTTCTTTGCCGTTGTTGACTGAAGCAACTCCAACTTGACTGGGTGGACTGGATTCATGCAGCAGGGGGTGGTGGTATGACTTGCATTGTTGACGATTTACTTTGCCTGTACACTGGCGTCTTTGTGAGCATGTAGCTGCTTTATGATTCTTGCTGGTTTTCTTCAAACATGAGAAGCAAGCACGATTTTCTCTTATCAGCTTCATTCGGTTCTCTGGACTCATACCTTCTAGCTTCGAACATTGATTGACCCAGTGCGTTGAGGTCTTGCACAACCAACACTTGTGCCTTTCGTGTTCTTCATGCCCGACATGGTTGACGTTCCATCTTGTTCTACCTTGGTTTCGCAGAGGGGCTGATGCTCTCATGCGGGACTTCATTTCTGTTGTCATCCACTTCATCATGTTTTCCAGTGTGGCTTCCTTTTTCTCTCTTTCGAGATCTCGTGCCCAAACCTTGCATCATCACTTGACATTTTTTGCTCGATTAAAGCTAACATATGATTGTTATTCATATTGTTGGGGCGACCGACTTCTTTAAGTGTATTGTAACTTCTGTTAACTAGGTGGACCAGTTCACAAAACCGAGCGTCTTCGCCATCCTGAAGTGCTTTGAACTTGGATATGTCTTGCGTAATTGAGTCTGCTATGAATCGTGGATCTCCATAAATTGAGTCGAGATACACCCATGCTGCTTTGTAATCACATCCTATACCCTTAATCAGTTCTAGTTGTTTTCCTTGAAGACTTGCCCTTAGTATTGTTATTGCATCTCTCTCACTGTACTGTGATTCAACATGCTTGAAATCAGCCCGAAATATTACGTAGTCTCTTACATCTCCACTGAACTTCGGCAATTTCGGCTTTTCAACTTTGAACGCACACGATTTAACTTCCTTGTTACTGGTTGGACTCTCTTCATTATTATCTATTTGCTGTACTGCTGGTTGGGGTGTCAGTTCCTGAACTGTTTGTTCTGTTTCTTCTGTAATTTCTACATCTTGAGAATTGCTATCTGTGTTTTGTTCTGGTATTTGATTCTCTATAATAGCTGTGTTGGTATTTTCTCCATTATTTTCTTGGGTTTCTGTGTTTTCTTAGCTATATCATTTTCTGCACATGTGTCTTGGGTGACCTGTTCCTGTTTTGATTTCAAAATATAATCTTTCGCTCTGAATTTCAAAATTAATGTCTTCTCACTGCAATCTTCGATCCATTTTTCTTCCTTAGCAAATTCTTCGTCATCGACCTTTTCTACTAAAGCCTTGTGCTTTTCTACGACAGTTTTATAGTCTATTTCTATTAGTTCTAGCGCTTCTGTTATCTCTTCAACAGGCCGGTTGTTTTCAATCATGCTGTATAAATTATTACTGTGACGTGTTAGCGAACTTTTTGCGTTTCTTCTGGCCTTTTTCGCATCCATTTTACAGTGAAACTTTATCAGCCTTTGCTGTGAACCTTTGGGACTCCAGATATAAACACAGAAATCGAATTTATGGTCCGTTGGGTTAGACAGAACTCAATATATTACCAACAAAGACCCGCGAATTGTATAGTCAATTGAACGCATTAAATATGTCAATAACTTTATTCGATCTAAAAGTATAAAAATATAAAACTAATGTAAGTAAAGTATAAATGGTACATACATCTTCTTTCTCAGTAACTTACTTCTTGCCGAGTCTTTGAACAATCCTCTTTAACAACAAATAATTCGTCCGATATATCTAGCGTGTCCGATATAGTTTCAAGTCGCTATTACAAACCTTATAACACATGTTTTATTTCCCGCGTCTTGGCATAATAAAGAATGGCTAATCTGAATATATTACATAAATAAATATACATTACGTCACTGTTCGCAACACTAAAACTAGTGGCAATAAAACTGAACATGCTTACTCATTCTTACTTTCTGACATTAGAATACTTAAAATAAATTTTTACACATTGCAAAATCATTAGAAATTTGTTATCGATAATGCACATTAAAACAAAAGATCCTTAATAAGTTTAAAAGATCCTTAATTTAGGAAATCATAAGACTAAAAGGCCCTGAATACTTTGTAATCAACATTATTAGTAGTAAAATTCAAACCAAGTTACATCGTTCTTTTGTAAGGAATAGTATATTAATATACTTACTTTTATGATTATTATATGATTTTGTCGTGATCGAGAAGTACAATGAGAGTAAAAGATCTCCAAAGGAACAGATACAGTTATGAAGCAAATTAGTAAGTGTAAAAATATATGAACTTTAGAATATAAAATATTTTGTATTTAAATGGTTAATGAGGAATAACATTCCTCATTAGACAAATTTTCAAAGCTCGCAAAGGAGTAAATTATGAATATTTCAAAACAAATAAATTGAATAAGTATATTCGTAAAGATGCTGTCAAGTTCATATGCATCTATAAAATATTTTGTATTTAAATGGTTTATGAGGATTAACATTCCTCATCAGACAAATTTCAAAGCTCACAAAGGAGTCAAATATATATATATAAAAAATTTAAAAAATTTGAATAAGATTATTTATAAAGATGCTGTCTTGTTCAATGCATCTAAAAAGGATGAGTTTAGCAGAAAATATATATAAAAAGCTGTATAAATAAAATGCAGCTATTGAAGATTATCTTAGTAGGAAGTATATATATATATAAATTTTTAATTATCAAGTGTAGCTATGAAAGATTAGTTTGTTATGAAGTTTTTTGTTAGTAAGTAGTAGAGTATGTAGTTTTGTTGAGTTACAGTAAGTTTTAGTAAGTTTTGGGATGCGCTTGTTATGGTATTTTCGTAGTATGTGATGTACGTACAATCTTGTCCGTTCTAGTGTTTCTGTTATATCTGGTTTTGTAAAAAAACAGTAAAGTCCTGTTTTTGTTATTTTGTTTTAGTCTTTTCGTTCTTCGTTTATGTCCATGATATGAAAGAAAAGGAAAGGTATTCGTCGTGATTAGTCTAGAAAGATAGTTTAAAGATTTAAGTCGAAGGGAGAAAAGTTTGCGTACAAAGTTATAATCGTCAAGAGTAGAGGAAAGTCTGCTGTATCTAATAGTTTCAGTTTTAATAATGCCAGGAAAGATATGCAAAGGATGGTTGGAGGAGAAATGAGGATACATGTATTTGTGGTTAGGTTTTTGATATACTTGAAAATGAATTTTATTGTATAGGAGAGTATGATAGTCGAGTGAAATGGTGAGATCGAGGTAGTGGACACAATGCTGATTGGATGTAAAAGTGATTGGAATTTGCTTTGGATAATAAGAGATGAGATACTGTCTAGTGGATTAGTATTATTAGTAGTAAACAAAAAACTGTCGTCAATGTAACATGAAAAATAGGATGTTTAGTTGTCCTGTTGTTAGTAAAATAATATTTCGCTAACTACCCATAGCCATGCCTTGTGTCTGTTGATAGATGTTTTGTAAAGTCGTTAAGATTAAGTAAAAAGTCACGATAAAAGTTGGAGAAGTTAAGTAGAAGCTAGAGATGATGGCATTGATTGTGTCCTGAAAAGAGATTTTAGTATATAAAGATGTGAAGTCAAAAGTTGTTAGTTTGGAATTGTTTATGTCTGTAACATGTTGTTGTTGTAATAAGTCGATTAGTTCAGATGAGTTGTAGATAAGTGGAAAGTGAATGTTTTTGGAATGGAATAGATTTTTAAGTTGTTTGATGTTGTCGAGTTCTGTGCCTAGTAGTTTTGAAACGTTTGAAGTCGTCCATGAATGTGCAGTGATGATTGATCTACTGGTTAAAAGATTGAGGTTACGAGGAGAAGCAGTTGATGTGAGTTTGTGTACTTTAGGTAACAGTTTCATGTAAGGTATTTGAATGTCGTTAATGTCAGCAGGGTTTAGTAGTTTACGTTTGTCTGGCGTGATGTGATTGTTAAAACGTGATTTAAGTTTGTATAAAAGCTTGTTACTGTCTGTAATGTGACGTTCTATGTTAAAGTTGTCAATAAGAGTGTATGTGTATGTGTCGTTAAGATGTCGTTTGTATTTGTTAGTAAACCATGTAGCAGGTACAAGCAACCATCCCATGTGTTTGTCTGTTTGTGTTACAATAATGTCTGGGTTTTCTATAATGTGTTGAAGAGTAGACAAAGAAACGTTAAGAAGAAGCGAATGAGTAATGTCGTTAAGGTCAGTATTTTGTAAGTATTGTTTGGTATAAGCGGAGGTATTATGAATGTACTCTATGAGATTATAATTAAAATTAGGTTTGGATTGCTCTTCTTTTAGTAGAGTTGTAGGTGATTTCTTCATATAGGTTATGTTCTTCTTGGATTTATAGTGGGTTTGTTTATTATTAGTGGATATGAAGGCTTGGCCACGAGGTTTATTAATCAGTTTGATCAGAGCATCGTTAACTTCTGTAGAAATTGTATCATATAAATGAGTGGGATCGAGGTTAGAGGGTGTCGGTATGAAATTAGTTCCTTTATTAAGCAGGTCGATGGTATCTTGGGGTAGAGGTAAAATTATGTATTTTGTTAGTTGAGGATAGGTTAATTTGTTCTTGTATGAATGTAAGTTGATGTTTAGTGGTAGATTCTTGCTTGAGGTTGTTAGCAATGACAGTATTGGAAAGGGTTAGACGATTGTTGAGGTAGTTGTGGAATAGGTATAGGTTAGGTTTGATGGAAAGGAGACAGGTTTTGATGGAATAGCCTTTGCTAGTACTGACTTTGGAGATGTTGTTAATTCTGGATGTTGAGATTGATTCTGTGTTTTTCTTTAATGTTTGGATTTTCTGTTGTATTATAATGTTATCTTGTTCTAATTTTAAAATATTTTCTTCTAGGGTGTGGATTTTTTTCTGCTGAGGTAGATTTTATGGTGGTAGTGATATTGTTGCCAGATTTACGGTAGGTTTCAATGTTGATGGTTGATTGGATATTAGAAATCAAGGTGTTTTTACGTTCTTTGATGGTAGAGAGATTGTGTATTTTCATGAGGTTGAGTTTTTGCATTGCATTGCGATTTCTATTCAATTTTAGACTGTGTTTCCATGATTTGATGTTAGTATGTCTGGTGTATGTAAATTTATTACTCTTTGGTTTAGCTTTCCTCTCTTTGAGTCTGGGCTTGTATTTAATCTTTTTTCTTTTGTTTTTCTCTTTTCTTTTGTTGTTGTAGGTTACTATTTGGATAGCTTTCTGTAGTCTTTGGCATTATTACTGCTTGTATATATTTATTATGGAGAAATTTGAGATTATCAGTAAAGGTAAAAGTTTTGATTTAAACATGTATTAATTTAACGAGAGATGTATAAAATATGGCAAAAATTTTTATTATTAAAGTAATAATCTATGATTAAGTTAAAGATAATAGTGTATGTCGTGCAGACGCTTGCTGCGCACTCGAACAAATCAAATACACACGATAATTTTAGATTTTTTAATCAAAATTTACAAATATGAAAGACAATACAAAATAAAAACAGCGAAAACTTCAACTCGAAACACGCTCTAGTCCTAGTCTTTTTGCTCGGTCAGGTGTTTCCACCTTCCAGTGCCAAAACTTCAGAAAACTGAATATATATTAACCACAATGTCAAATCCCTCTTAAACATCCCCCCTCCCCACACTGGGGAACAAAGTTCAACAAGTGTGTCCAAACGTTCAAACTACATTCAAGGGAACTAGTTTGTGAATTGGTCGCATCAGCGTCTTCTCCGCCAATTGTACTTGGGCGACTCGATTATGTCCATCTGCCCCTGCAAATACCTCAAGGATCCGCCCTAGAGGCCAGTGACCGCGTGGAACGTCTGACTGGCAAACCAATACAACGTCTCCAACCTGCAAATCTCCATGGACTTTCAGCCACTTGGACCGAGGAATTAACGTCGGTAGGTATTCTTTCATCCACCGACGCCACACTAGCGATATAAGGTGCTGCACTTTTCTCCATCGTTGTTTTGGGTGAAACCCCGTGGTCTCGACCGCCTCTGGCGCTAACTGACCGCCCGCTTGACCGTACAGGAAATGGTTCGGCGTAAGGGGAACAACGTCACGAACATCCGAAGACTGATACGTAAGTGGCCGTGAGTTCAGAAGGTTTTCTGCCCCACTGAAAACTGTCATCAGCTCCTCGTCGTTGACCTCCGCATTTCCTACGACCGCGTAGATGGCTTTCTTTGCCGCTTTGACCATAATTTCATTGACTCCCCCAAAGTGTGGGGCCGCCGGAGGGTTGAACAACCATCGCACTCCCTTACTTGCTGTCTTCCCTTTGATCTTTTCTTCATCTAACTTGCTTACAAGTGACTTTAACTCGTTTACCGCTCCTACAAAGTTTGTCCCATTATCGCTAACAATCTCCTTGGGCACACCCCTTCGGCTGATAAACCTTGTAAATGTCCAATCGCCACGCCATCTCTAGATGCACCGCTCGAACTGACAAACAAGTAAACACGCACAAATACCGCTTTTGCCTCTTCCGTC